TCCCTAACTATGACTGTGGTTTCCTGGCCAACGTGTTTCAATCGAGACATCTAGACACAGCGGACGTGTTGCTTCTACACATACAGGCGTTTTAATGTAAGTAATTGTTTCCACTATCTTTTTTTCTTTATTTGTGTAAGTAGGCTACTAATACTTTGTTGGAATTTTGTTGTGTAGGACCATGAGAGATGCTTTTCTTTCAGTGGATCGACGGTACAGACAAGTTTGACCCTAGATATCTTCTTTTCAACGATTGGTGTAGAGGAACACATCCACGTGAGCACTTCAAGAGGTGGGTTCCACCCCCCCGTAACCCTCTGACAATGATAGCTAAGGAGAAGCATCTAGCCGCAGTTAGACGACTTAAGGAACCTCCTCTGTGCGAATGCGGAGATCGAGCTGTGATAAACCCTAAGAATACGTTGGAGTTTGTGTGTCCGAACAAACACGAAGTAAGTGGAAAATGTATTTGTTTAAATGTTTATCTCTATAGATAACGTTATGGATAATCGTCGTCATTATCAACAACCGTTTTTTCATCATGATGAATCCACACTGTGTAGTCCTCAACAAATCATCGCACAATCAAATGTTCTCTAATGATACTCACATCTATCCATGCCATAAGGTTCTTGCAATCTTTGCAGAGACAAATAATTGTATCATTATTCTCTATCAACGTCGCTGCATGCTTCTCTACGGCTTCAATAAATTTGTTCACCTCTTCATGGAAACATGCGTTGAACCTTAACGAACCATACCTTTAAGACTTCCTGTACTCCATCTTTTAAAACACAACAATCAAAGAAAATACATTAAAGAACTACTAATTCAGATATATATGTAAAGAAATCAAATTAATAATTAATTACTTGACAATAATTCTATATACTTCAGATATATATAAATATAAAATAAATTTACATGAAGCATATCAAACACACACCATGGAAGATGGTAATTAATTAATGGCCTATTTATCAATAAATAATTAAAAATATATATTTATTAATTAAAATAAATAATTTCAAAGACAATAATTTGCAACAATTAATATTTTACCCACTACCTTTCATGCAAACCCTATTCCAATTTTATAAAACATAAATTTACAAAATTAAAATTAAAAAAAACAAACCCTAGATTTAGATCTAAATCTACATGTACATGAAACATGCATGAAACTAAGGTGTAATCTCAACTAAAATCAAGCAAGATGGACTAATAAATTGTGTAATCTCATGTATCTAACTAATTTACACTAATAGCTTCAAAATTAGAGTCTGATTTGCTTTATACAAAGCTCAAGCACCATAGAAGAGAGAGAAAAACAAAACTCTAATTACGATCACTAACCAACCATTAAAACTTCAAATAAAGGTTTGGAATAGCATTTTCTTACCTTGTACAACCTCTCCACCAAAATATTTGAGATCAAAACCTCCCCTTAGTAGAGAATTTTTAGGCGAAGCCCAAGGCCTCCCAACCTTTTTTGCTCAGGTTAGAAAGAGTGGTCCGAGGTGGAAGAAGGTGACTGCTATATATATAGCGGGTATTTATAGGGACGGCTGGTGATTCAGCCGCTCCTACAAATAGACACAGCAGGGGTGGCTGGTTATAGCCGTCTCTACGTACCAGCCGCCCCTATAAATCGACATATTTGTAGGAGCGTCTCGTATTACTAGCCGCCCTCTATTGTGCTATTTGTAGGACGGCTCCTGTGCTGTTGCCCAAAAAAAATTCGTTGCAAACTGTTTTTCACGTAGTGTCCTCAGGGCCACCAATTTGCTTCTTGATCACTTTTTCCCTGTCGACATAAGTATATGCTAGAAAAACTATGCCGTGGTGAAGAACTGTTCGGCAGCTTTTTATTGCAGCTGTTGGTGCTGCAGCTCCAGCTTCTGCCTCTCACGAAACACTGTGCTAACAGCCAGCAGTTGGACGTATATATCGGGTCTCGATGAAGAAGGGAATCCAGACACTGCATGCCACAGCGGGTCGCAGCAAAATCGATCCTGTTCCTGTCCTTGGATCATTGGTCTTCCTTTCCACGAGGGCTTTCCCTCTCAATCTCTGCTGCATCATCTCTTGACACCCGCACCAACCAACCAGGAGAGCAAGCCGCCACGACCACGACCGGCCGGCCACCATGCATTTGTCATCAGTGATTTCACTCTCAAAATCCGCCACACAAAGTCAGTCGATCCACTGTGCCTGCTCGTATACTCTCTTGACTACCACATTCATGGCTGACGCGATGCGACGAATTCTTGAGCAGGGCAAGGACAAATCTAAACCATTCAACGCGGCAGATTGACGGTTGGCTTCTTGCAAAGCAAGAAACGGAATCTTCTCTGCCAGCTACGTACTATAAAAACGTGGTTTGCAAGGCCGGTTCGAGCTGGGGGTCACCTGTGACTCAGTGACTGTGAGCTGCTAGCTACGTATCACCACCTGCAAGCGAACGAACCAGAGAGATGGCGGCGGCCAGCAGCGAAACCAGCAAGACGATTCTCAAGAGCGAGGCGCTGTACAAGGTAACATACTATGCACTCGCTGTGGATCGCCTTAACTAATCACTATGCACTGCACGCGTATGCAGTACGTCATCGACACGTCGGTGCTACCGCGCGAGCCGGACTGCATGCGTGACCTGCGCCTCGTCACCGACAAGCACGAGCGGTTTTTCATGCAGTCCTCCCCGGACGAGGCGCGGCTGCTGCAGATGCTCATCAAGCTCACCGGCGCACGCCGCACCCTCGAAGTCGGCGTGTTCACGGGCTACTCCCTGCTGGCCACGGTGCTGGCTCTCCCCGACGACGGGAAGGTCATCGCCGTCGACGTGAGCCGCGAGTACTACGACATCGGCCGCCCCTTCATCGAGAAGGCCGGGATGGCGCACAAGATCGACTTCCGCGAGGGCCCCGCGCTGGAGCACCTGGACGCGCTGCTCGCCGACGAGGCCAACCACGGCGCCTTCGACTTCGCCTTCGTCGACGCCGACAAGCCCAACTACGTGCGGTACCACGAGCAGCTGCTCCGCCTGGTGCGGGTCGACGGCGTCATCGTGTACGACGACACGCTGTGGGCGGGCATGGTGGCGCTGCCGCCCGACGCGCCCCTGTCGGAATATGACCGCCGCACCTCGGCTGTTATGCGAGACCTCAACGCCATGCTCGCCGCTGACGAGCGCGTGGACGTGTGCCAGCTCACCATCGCCGACGGCGTCACCATCTGCCGCCGCCTCGTGTGATCACCGACCGGACCAGCCATCACGCGTACTCGCGCAGTGCCTGTTCTACTAGCTCCTTGCATGTTCCGGTCCACTACTTGTTACTATCACCAACTGGGGCACCTTTAATCCTTGATGATGTCATGCTACTAGCTCCTGTGTGCATCACTTATCTCACAATAAGGACCTTTATCTAAAAAAACTGCCTCTACCAGTACTATACGGGTATGTTTGGTTTCATAGCCAATTTTCTAGCCTGGCCAGTCTTAGCCTGCTCCCACCAATTCAATTTCTGGTTGTTTGGTTATCTGTACCATCTAAGTCTGGCTATCCCTGGGCTTTGTTTGGTTGTCTGGATTGTTTTGATACAGTCACATCTTCTCTAAATTGGTAAGGTTACCCCTTCAGCAACTGAACCCCAAACACCAGTGGCTCCTTGGCATGAGACAACAGACTTCGCCGTGGTCCAAACTGCAATTTTGAACAAAAAAAAACAAAAGCAGAAGAGTAATCGTAAGTCAGCTGTATAAGTATAAACCATCAGAATTGTGCAAAAGTTTTAGAAGTACAGTAGTAATGTCCGAATTAGGACGTCTATCAGGCCTCGAATCATCTGAACAGCACATAAGCTAGATATAACAACAAACGAACTCACAGAACTAGAAACTGCAGCTGAGTGCACCTAGAGGATATCTATACTCCTGAAGAATGTGGAGAGAAAAAATTCAGGAGTGAAGCTTCTAACCTCTTCTCCGCCAAGTGCAAGTGTCACCGGCTTCCTCTCACCGCTGAACTGGTCCACCGTGCTGAGTTGCAGTAGACAGGGAAAACATGGTGAGACCACTAGATAATTGGACTCGATCTAACTGAAACTGCAACAGGTTTTCAGTGTATGTACTGAACAACACGGGCGTTAGGTTAACTGAATTTACTGAACAACACGGAGCTTCCTTGGCCACCTGCGCCTCGTTCTGGCTGTCGTTGCCGGTCCCAATCCCACGGCATAGTACACCGCCTGTTCGTGCTCCTCCGTCTCTGTCGTCGGGAGCAGTAGCCGTGGCTCGCCCTGGTACTTGTACCGCTACCGGCGGCCAACAGCAGGGCGAGCACGGTGGCACCACAGCAGGGCGGGGTCGCGTCGCGGGTGGGGAAGGTGCTCGCAGGCTGCGTCGTCGTCCTAGACCTGCGTCGTCCTCGAATCTCCGTCGTCCTGCCGTGCTCGCCCTGCGGATGGAGCTGCGACCCTGCCGGACAGGGACGGAATGGTGCCGTGGACAGAGAATCAGAGATGAAGCAGCGGAGAACTGGAGAAGTCACCGGGTACGCGCCTAGGCGGCGAGGGAACGACCACACGAGCTGGCCCAAGCCAGGCTCCACAAGAACAGCCGAATCCAGGGTTCAACCCGGGCCAGGCTTAGGCGGTACGGCTGGCCAGCCCAAGCCAGGCCCCAGCCCTCTTACAGGCAACCAAACAGGCCAAAATTGGCTCCAGGGAGCTAGGGGCTGGCCACCCATCCAAACACACCGTATATGGTTCGAAATAACAATACGAATTTCCTTGATAATTATACTTGGTTTCAACATAAGCACGCTTTCACACAGACATAAAGGCAATGGGATAATTATATTTTTTGCAGGCAGAATTTTACTCATCTAATACAGTAAGACAAATATTAAGGAGTTAATACATTTTAATAATATGCAAATAAAATGTCAAGATACGACCAGAAACAACCCTTTCATGTCCAACATGAATATACTACTGGCATCAACTCTTGAACCGAACACTGCGGCTGACATTCGGGTTGATACCAGACATTTCACCTCCATATGGACCAGAGGGCTTCTTGATATCACGCACTTGGCCTTTCCGCTTGACAAGCTTGTTTTTATGCTTATCCTGAAAAGAGTAATTTTTTTGAGCTAATGTGTTGTCGCCCTAGCAGTTTAGATGAGTCACAAGTCATATATACTATAATGTTATGTTACTTACCCTGTAGTTCTTTCGTGGATTCTTCTTTTTCTTGTTCCTGGAACGTGTCAACCCCCTGTTCTTCAAGATCTGCAAGGGTTTGGATTTAGTTAGACGCACATAACAGGAAATCAAAATCTATAATATGATACATGATGCACCAGGTGAAGATTAACCTGATACGAAATCGTCCTCTTGCCATCGCCTTCAGTTTCTTCCTCCGGAGGTTCAACGACCGGAGTTCTGTCATACAGGAAAAAGTAAGCAGCAGTACATCATTCACCAGAAACCCCTTATTTATTACCTGGTATATCAGTGAAACTAACCTCGAGTACAGAGCATTCTTGATTGATAGTTTTTCAGTCCTCTGTCTTTTAACATCCTCATAGAAGCCATCTTCCGAAGCATCACCACCTTCTGGCAACTCCTGGTCATCTTCAGAAGCGTCATCTTCAGAAGCGTCACCATCTGGCAAGTCATGATCTTCCACTGAGTTAGCTCCTACTCTTGATAGAACACGAAGCTCGTGTTTCCTCCGTCTTTCTCCAATATTATCTCTCTTCGGAAGGTCATCATCACCAGAAACAAACTTGAAGATACAAAACAGGGGGTTAGACACAATCAGACAACCGAAAGCTTGTAACTCCGAATAAAGCTTAAGACACATCATAGCTTATACTGAGCATATATGCAGCTCATTCAAATTCCTTTTTCTTCTTTTCAAAATATACAACATACTAAGAGCATGTTTCCAGAGGGGAGGGGGCCAAAACCTAGATGTATCCCAAAAGTAAACCATCACATGAAAACACACCCTTTTTCTTGTACCTTTTTTAGGTGAGATGCATAAAACTGAAACAAACTTACAAGAACCTGAAATCAGAATGTAAAATTCGCCACTAGACAAATTACTGAACAGTGTAGCATACCATAATGTTCAAGATATCCTGGATACTACAAATTACTGACAAATTACTTTATCACTTTCAAACTCACTAGACAAATTACTTTGGAACTACAAATATCCTGGATACTATAATGTTCAAGATATAGCCACATGAAATTATTTCCAACCTAAGATGACTAAGACCATTGATGCATGAGGAATTTACATATTATCCCATTACAAAAGCCTAGGACCACAGGAAACAATAAGATATAAACTAATACAACAAAAACAAACAGCCTGTAACTGAACAGTGTAGCATACCATGCTTTTATTTGATTTAGCAGCAGCTGCAACAAGCTTGCTAGGTTTCATCATTTGATTATTCTTCAGCACTTCATCATCAAAGTCATCCAATGTCTGCAGGCCTCTTCTACACATCAAAGATAAATATTACTAAAACCACAAAGAAACAAAAACATTATTATGTAACAGAACTACAGAAGAAATACATAACTAATAACTCACTTATTACTAGTTGTCCTGGTTTTTGACAACTTCTCTGGCTTCGACTTTGTCAGCCCTTTTTTCTTTAATCTTTCCTCAAGGTTTGCTCTTACCTTTAACATTTCCAGGCTATGCAAGCCCATATGTTCATCCTGTCATTTGTAGATTTCAGGCAAATACACTCTTATTTAACAGGAAAACAATGAACACTACATGTTCATATCAGATTAACCTTGTTCTTCTGTTCATTGACTTCATGCTGATCTTCATTATTAGAAGGCTCGCTCTTCCTTTATTCAGAGACTTCAGCACCCTAAATTATCAATCATGTGTTATTTGGAGCACTTGAAAGCTTGGGATATACCTAGAGATCTATGTTTGAATAGGAATACTTGGAAAGCAGCTATTGAAGTGCCTGAACCGTGACTTGGGGCTCTTGGTGGGTTTCAACTCTAGCCTACCCCAACTTGCTTGGGACTAAAAGGCTATGTTGTTGTTGTTGTGTTATTTGGAGCACTTAGGTGATAAAGTAATAGGCACAACAGAGCAGAAACAGTACCTGGATCACTTTATCCAGTGCTAGTACATTGCTAAATTTGCCCTCCTGTTTGTCCAATGTGAAAATATTATCTGTTTGGATGGTGCTGCTATGCATACTATGGTCATCAGTGCTCCCTTTTTGCCTTGCTGGATTCATGGTAACTTGCTTAATCTGCAAAAGAGAAGACATCGAATCTTTCACATATCGCACAGTCCAAATAACTTTCCAATCGACTCATAAAGAGAAATTATCTAACAAGCCCTAAAATAATGAGTCAATAACAGAACAAATTCTTCCATGCTACCGATTCTACTAAACTTATTTTTGGTCTAGTAAAACTGATTCGAATACCAACCCAATAACCATCAACAAAAAGATAAGAAAGGGGGAAAATGTCATCTGGCAGATAAAGGGCAGCATGGGCATGCCTTCTGAATTCAGTACATATAGGAATAAGGTTTACTAAAAACAAACCTTCTCTACCATATTCTTGGTCTCTATCAAGCGAGAAATTACAGGATGATCCTGTACGGACAACCCCTCAGATTTCATAAGGAGATAGAAGGTAATAGCTTGACAATGAGCAAGCAAACAAGCTTTCTTCACTTCAAAAGGTTGCATTTTATCTTTGCCTAGACAAGACGAGACCTGCAAAAATATTCATCAATTATCAAAGGCAGCAAGATATGGAGAAGGGAGACTAAACAGGCTATAGGCACTAAGATCACGAACCACAAAATTTAGCAGTGAATCACAGTAGTGAAACAAGCCAACTCAACTAATGTGATAAAACATAAGCAACAAAATTCCATGAATCACCAACATGAACCAGGAGCGAATGGTAATCACAAACCAAACCAAACTAGAGCAAGCTCAAGCTTGTGTCTGGCAGTCACTAAGCAAGAAAGCATCATAGTAGCATGGAGAATAGTGCCAAAGATGGCGTAGTTGATGAAAAACAAATCGAAAGTATGAGTACTTTCACCCTTTAGGCTATTCGCAACACTCTTGAGCTTTATTGTAGGGACAAGATATGGTCCTGTTTGAATCACCATATTTGAACTTTTGTTCAATAGCACATACATCTAAGCATAGTTTTTACGGCGGCGTGGCGAGGCGTGGCGACCCACCACCTTCACACCTTTACAGCGTCTATGGCGCGCGGCGTGGCGATGCCATACACACATCGGCGTGGCGAATACATACATTATAGTCTAGGATATTAGAAAATTATATTGACAAATGGTAATGCAAATGTAGCTTAAAAGGTATAGTCTACAATATTAGCAAATCAAAATAGCAATGTAAATGTAGCATAAAAGACATAGAACTCTCTCGTCTCTCAAACCGGGCTCATTCTTTACTGTTACTGGGCCCAAAACCGGCAATTCGGCTCGGCCGACAAGCACGAGCGTTTTTTCATGCAGTCCTCCCCGGACGAGGCGCGGCTGCTGCAGATGCTCATCAAGCTCACCGGCGCACGCCGCACCCTCGAAGTCGGCGTGTTCACGGGCTACTCCCTGCTGGCCACGGCGCTGGCTCTCCCCGACGACGGGAAGGTCATCGCCGTCGACGTGAGCCGCGAGTACTACGACATCGGCCGCCCCTTCATCGAGAAGGCCGGGATGGTGCACAAGATCGACTTCCGCGAGGGCCCCGCGCTGGAGCACCTGGACGCGCTGCTGGCCGACGAGGCCAACCACGGCGCCTTCGACTTCGCCTTCGTCGACGCCGACAAGCCCAACTACGTGCGGTACCACGAGCAGCTGCTCCGCCTGGTGCGCGTCGGCGGCATCATCGTGTACGACAACACGCTATGGTGCGGTACGGTGGCGCTGCCGCCCGACGCGCCCCTGTCGGAATTGGACCGCCTAACCTCGGCTGTTATGCGAGACCTCAACGCCATGCTCGCCGCTGACGAGCGCGTGGACGTGTGCCAGCTCACCATCGCCGACGGCGTCACCATCTGCCGCCGCCTCGTGTGATCACCTACCGGACCAGCCATCACGCGTACTCGCGCAGTGCCTGTTCTACTAGCTCCTTGCATGTTCCGGTCCACTACTTGTTACTATCACCAACTGGGGCACCTTTAGTCCTTGTCATGCTACTAGCTCCTGTGTGCATCACTTATCTCACAATAAGGACCTTTATCTAAAAAAAACTGCCTCTACTGGTACTATATATGGCTGTGTTTGGTTTTCTGGCCAATTTCTAGCCTGGCTAGAATCCTAGCCTGGTCAGTCTTAGCCTGCTCCCACCAATCCAATTTCTGGTTGTTTGGTTATCTGTACCATCTAAGCCTGGCTATCCCTAGGCTTTGTTTGGTTGTCTGGATTGTTTTGATACGGTCACCTCTTCTCTAAAATTGGTAAGCTTACCCCTTCAGCAACTGAACCTCAAACACCAGTGGCTCCTTAGCATGAGACAACAGACTTCGCCGTGGTCCAAACTGCAATTTTGAAAAAAAAAAAAAAAAGCAGAAGAGTAATCGTAAGTCAGCTGTATAAGTATAAACCATCAGAATTGTGCAAAAGTTCTAGAAGTACAGTACTAATGTCCGAATTAGGACGTTTATCAGGCCTCGAATCATCTGAACAGCACATAAGCTAGATATAACAACAAACGAACTCACAGAACTAGAAACTGCAGCTGAGTGCAGCTAGAGGATATCTATACTCCTGAAGAATGTGGAGAAAAAAAATTCAGGAGTGAAGCTTCTAACCTCTTCTCCGCCAAGTGCGAGTGTCACCGGATTGCTCTCACCGCTGAACTGGTCCACCGTGCTGAGTTGCAGTAGACAGGGAAAACATGGTGAGACCACTAGATAATTGGACTCGATCTAACTGAAACTGCAACAGGTTTTCAGTGTATGTACTGAACAACACGGGCGTTAGAATTCCATGGTTAACTGAATTTACTGAACAACACGTAGCTTCCTTGGCCACCTGCGCCTCGTTCTGGCTGTCGTTGCCGGTCCCAAACCCCACGGCATAGTACACCGCCTGCGCGTGCTCCTCCGTCTCTGTCGTCGGGAGCAGTAGCCGTGGCTCGCCCTGGTACTTGTACCGCTACCGGCGGCCAACAGCAGGGCGAGCACGGTGGCACCACAGCAGGGCGGGGTCGCGGGTGGGGAAGGTGCTCGCAGGCTACGTCGTCGTCCTAGACCTGCGTCGTCCTCGAATCTCCGTCGCGGGTGGGGAAGGGCTCGAATCTCCGTCGTCCTGCCGTGCTCACCCTGCGTCGTCGTCCTACCGTGTTCTCCCTGCGGATGGAGATGGCGGAGCTGCGACCCTGCCGGACGGGGACGGAGATGGCGCCGCGGACAGAGAATCAGAGATGAAGCAGCGGAGAACTGGAGAAGTAACCGGTACGCGCCTAGGCGGCGAGGGAACGACCACACGAGCTGGCCCAAGCCAGGCTCCACAAGAACGGCCGAATTCGGGGTTCAACCCGGGCCAGGCTTAGGCGGTACGGCTGACCAGCCCAATCCAGGCCTCAGCCAAACTAAAGAAAATTTTTTATTTTTAACATATTTTTTAAACTAATTTTAAAACTAACACTATTTAAATATTTTTTCAAATCTAATATTTTTGGTCGCGCCTATTCGTACAGTGCGACGATTTAACGCTGCCGCACCATGCATGAAGACGCGGTGAGGCTGCATATGTGGCAGCGAACAGGGCCTCTGACCGGTGACGTGGCCAGCTCTGTCACGCCACCGATCAGGTGAAATGTCCTAATATGGCTAGAGGGGGATGAATAGCCTATTTTAAGAATCTACAAGTTAACTAGAGCAATTTGATTAGTATGACAAATAGCGTAATATAAACTTGCTCTAGCTCTACAAGGGTTGCAAGCCACCTATCCAACAATTCTAGTTGCAATGATTACTTAGGCACACAAACTTGCTATGTAAGATGTAATTACTCACTAAGAGCTCTCAAACTTGCTACTCTAAAAAGCTCAACTAGATGAATGTAAATAATAAAGCAAGCTCTCAATTCTAATTACACTAAAGAGCTTGTATCAACTAGTTTACAAGAATGTAAATAAGTGAGTAGGGTGATTATACCGCCGTGTAGGGGATGAACCAATCACAAGATGAATATATAGCCAATCACCGGAAGAATGCCAAATACAAGAGACAATCGATTTTCTCACGAGGTTCACGTGCTTGCCAACACGCTACGTCCCCGTTGTGTCGACCAACACTTGGTGGTTCGGCGGCTAAGAGGTGTTTCACAAACCTCGTCCACACGATAGGACACCGCAAGAACCGACCCACAAGTGAGGTAACTCAATGACACGAGCAATTTACTAGAGTTACCTTTCGACACTCCGCCGGGGAAGGTACAACTCCCCTTACAATCACTGGAGATGGCCACGAACAATCACCAACTCGTGCCAATCCTCCACCGCTGCTCCAACCGTCTAGGTGGTGGCAACCACCAAGAGAAACAAGCGAAATCCGCAGCGCAACACGAATGCCAAGTGCCTCTAGATGCAATCACTCAAGCAATGCACTTGGATTCTCTCCTAATCTCACAATGATGATGGATCAATGATGGAGATGAGTGGAAGGGCTTTGGCTAAGCTCACAAGGTTGCTATATCAATGAAAATGGCCAAGAAGGTGAGCTTGAGCCGGCCATGGGGCTTAAATAGAAGCCCTTATGCCATGGGGCTTAAATAGAAGCCCTTATGAAATAGAACTGTTGTACCCCTTCACTGGACACAACACGGGATGACCGAACGCTCCGGTCATATTGACCAGACGCTGGACCCAGCGTCCGGTCGCCCGATGTAAGCCACGTGTCATTCTGAGTTAAACCTGAGCCGCCAGATCTCAACGGCTATTGACTGACCGGACGTTCCGGCACAAGTGACCGGACGCTCAGACCTCAGTGTCCGGTCGTTTCCAGTAAGCTCCAAAAACCGACTTTTGCCGACCGGACGCGTCCGGTCCACCTCGACCAGACACAGCCCAGCGTCCGGAGCTTAACCCTAACCACTGAGTCGTCTGACAGCTCGACCGGACGCAGCCTTTTAGCGTCCGGTCGCTGAGTGACCCAGCGTCCGGTCAGTTGATCGACGCTAGCATCTTTGCGACCAACTCCATTTCACTTCTAACTTCTTCACCCTTGCTCAAATGTGCCAACCACCAGGTGTATCACCTTGTGCACATGTGTTAGCATATTTTTCACAAATATTTTCAAGGGTGTTAGCATTCCACTAGATCCTAAATGCATATGCAATGAGTTAGAGCATCTAGTGGCACTTTGACAACCGCATTTCGATACGAGTTTCACTCCTCTTAATAGTACGGCTATCGATCATAAATATGATCACACTCGCTAAGTGTCTCGATCACTAAAACAAAATGGCTCCTACAATTTATACCTTTGCCTTGAGTCTTTTGTTTTTCTCTTTCTTCTTTTTCAAGTTTAAGCATTTGATCATCACCATGCCATCACCATTGTCATGATCTTCGTCATTGCTTCATCACTTGGAGTAGTGCTACCTATCTCATAATCACCTTGACAAACTAGGTTAGCACTTAGGGTTTCATCAATTAACCAAAACCAAACTAGAGCTTTCAATCTTCCCCTTTTTGGTAATTAATGACAACCCTTACACAAATATATGAATTAAGATTTAATTGAATCCACGTTGCTTGCCCAAGCATATTTACCATGTGTAAAGGATATGGACAAGTTTCATGAACTCCATATGGTAGCAATTGCTCCCCCTACATATGTGCTAAGAGTTTGGATTGTAGCTTGCACATATGCTTAGATAGGAAATATAGGAGTCAATTTCTACCAAATGATGCTAAGGTATAAGAGATGGACCTTTGAAGCGTTATACCAATCGGAGTGCACCAATATACTATCTTTAGCACCATTAGTAACTAGACATACACAAAAACTAGAATACCCCATGAGATCAACATTGCAAGTAAGGGTCTAGTTTCCATAAAATGATTATAAGTCTAGTTACTTTAGCTCAATACCACTTGGAAATACAATCACTAGATTACCTATGCATGCTAGTTTTTTATTTCATCAATCAAGCATATAACTAGCATACACCACACAAGCATGGATATTGAAATTTGAAACTTGTGCCATGCAAGCAAATATATGAAATGCACATTCAAATGCAACATACAAGTTTATGAGCTTGCTCCCCCTATGTCAAATGCAACATACAAGTTTATGAGCTTGCTCCCCCTATATCAAATATTCCCCTATCACGCATATTTTTGTTTCTCTCCCCCTTTGTCAACAATTAGCACAAAAGGTGAGCTCAAATTATAGATAGGTTGGGGTGAAACCATGTGAGATGAGGATCATTTTCCCAATTTGGTTCAATCTAGATTACTTACAAAAGTTATTTAACTCGGTTTGATCCAAGGACAAGCTTCTTCACACCTCCAAATAAGGGTTATCTTGTTCCATGTTGAGTTAAACACTTATAACTCATTTTATAGATCAAACACTAGGTTTACAAGCTCATAAACATGTCATATGCTACCACTAGATCATTTCAAACATACAAGCAATAGTGGTACCATACAAGCATCAAATTCATTTGATTTTCATGAATGAGCCTATTCAAATGTGAAATATGTCTAGATGCACTAATCATGTTCTTAGCAAGAATGTATGCCATACCAATCAACTTTTACCTTGGATTGCTCGAAGAAGAGGCATGTCATATAATTGGGGGTGCATCAACACATATTGGAGAAGTCAAGTATGTTCAATTCATTCCTTAGCTTGCAAAACCTCTTCTCATCAAGTGGCTTGGTGAATATATCGGCAAGTTGATCTTCGGTGCCCACACTCTCAATGCAAATGTCCCCTTTTTGTTGGTGATCTCTTATGAAATGATGGCGGACATCTATGTGCTTTGTTCTTGAATATTGAACCGGGTTGTTGGTGAGCTTTATGGCACTCTCATTGTCACATAGCAATGGCACT